TCCCAGTGTGGGGCTGGGTTAAGACTAAGCTAGGCTGTGTACAATTCCTGAAATTCCCGTTATTTCACGAATTATTTGACGCTAAAGTGTTGACAAGTTCTTCGCGTTACGTAAGTGAAAAATTGACTCAACGCTGCAAGGAGAAACTCCCTCAAAATTTACTATTAAGAGTCGAAGTTACATTCCAAAATTTAAACGTTACTGTTAGGTTTATTGGCGTATTGATAACCTTGTAAATGCCTCTAACATACTGAAAACATTTTCATTAGTTTTTATATATCTTTATCCTTTGTTCAGTACGATCTTACACATTTCGGGTTTGAACTTTTCGTGGGGAACACGTGCTACAGCTTACACGACGTATTTCAATACATACATACCCAAATGCGACGATCTGATTCGTGCGCGCGACATAGCACTTGATACGCTAACACAATTTTTTTTTTTTTATAAAAAAATTAACTCAAAAACTTTAAAATTTTCTTTCCAGTCCCTGCCCCTACCTCGTGCGACTGGTCTCTGAGTTGTTATAACTGAACTTTTGAAAAACTTGCAGGGAATTGTGATAAGAGGAAAGTGGAAGTAAAATCAAACAGCCTTTTAGCCTTACTTGTTCTTTTAATGATATAATTGTCCATTACAGAACTATGGAGAAACACAAGAATTATATCCTAAACATACAACATTATTATCGAATTATAACCTTGCAACTACATTTATAACACGATAAGATAAGGCCTCCAGTACATGTTGTGCTCAACCTGCCTGTTAATCCTACCTTGCATCTCTGAATCTAGACAACTTGCGGTTTAATTTCAATTGAATGAACTCATAATTGTATACAATGAATGTTAAAGCTTCTTCAATAATTACAAACCATTTAGTTTGTCTTTAAACAACTGAACTCTCCAGTCCGCCTTGACAAAGCTTAATAATGTTAAAGCTGTTTCTTGTTTTAGTAAAAAGTTTAAAGCTTTCGGAGTGCTTCTTTCAAATAGTGAATTCTTACTTGACGTTTCATTTGCAATTTTCAGTTGAGTATGGAAAGAAATCCGGGATTGCATTGATTTTACCATATACTATTGCGCTCTATGTTTAGCAAATACATCTCGCACCACTCTTTATACCAATCAGATGAAAGACTAAAATCGATCACGTCTGAGTCTCTCTCGTTTTCCCACGACTTTGCTGGTGTCCATGTTCTTACTTTGACTTCTCAATGCAATAGTTTCCTTTCATCTGATTAGCTCTTTTAAATACTCAGCTTTGTTTTTATGACACACTATTAAAATGTGCGCTGAAGCTGTTACTTGCATTTGTTATAGGTAAAAGCTAATACCGCGAACAATAATATTCTCGCGGTATCTGGTCTGTGGAAGCTGTATCCTCTGCTGATACCAGGTGTTGGTGTCGGCGGAGACCTGGGGAAAGGGAAAGCTGTGTTTCCTTCGGGGGGACAGTAATGACCGCTTGGACATGGCTCTGGTAAGAAAATGAAATCGTTAATAAGGCTCATCAATAAGGTCTGTCAAGGTCTAGAGTTTGATACTTCAGGGAAACTCAGATTTCTTCGTTCTCCAAAATTCGTAACAAAACGAGTAACAACCTTCCTAAAAGAAGCAGCTTTTCTTTAAAAGTCAAGTAATTTCATCTCCACCAATGTAAAGCATATTTGAAGATGTATAACCAAACGCATTTAGAGATCTCAAAAGGTAACCTAAGCGTTCGAAAACTGTCCCTGAATGTGTTTGACAAATCTGTCATTAATTAGCCGTTAGTCTCATTGCTCTTTTTTCCGTCTTTTGGAGATTTGTTTGTCGTTTATCCATTTTTGACTTGCAAATTATTTTTTTTGCCTTGCTATGATTAGAGAAGCGGCTGTGTGAGACCCAAAGGTTACTACTAAATTGTCTAATTTTTTTTAGTTTTGAAGTCAATCTTCGCACGAAATGGTTTCGATTCCATGCATCTTTACGTTATGACAAACCTGTTTTTAGGAAAAGATCCTTTGCTGCCTTTATACCATTTTTATATCCAGAGCATGTGTACCGTCCCTCGTCATTCTCAGTCACGTTTATTATTTTCAAGGTAAACAGCTTTCTAGGTTTGCAAATGGTGGTATCCCTTATCATTTTGTGACGATCACCATGTGAAATCCTTGTTCCATTCAACAGCCACATATGAGCGTCAACATGCAGTAATTTACACTTGAGTTCAACAGTTCCATTCAGGTAAGCTGTTTGGCGGTTGTCAGCAATCTTAAAGTATTCCACTTCAGGTTTTTTTTTAAGATCTGCGAGGGATTAAGTAAAAATGGTTTAGTCACCAAACATTACAATAAATGGTTTAGACACTTAACGTCACAGCAAATTACGGTGGCTCTCAAGGGCCATCCACCTACAAAAATTTTCATGACTTTATCGCGCGATAAGTTTTGCTGAATCCATTCATTCAAAAAAACTTGCAATCAACATTATCGTGCGATAGATAAACTTATCGCGCGATAGAACAACTTATCGCGCGATAGAAC